TTTGGTCATTTTTTTTATTTTTTTAATTTTTGTTGTCAGAACGGGCTGTCCATTCGAACTGAACAATCGAATCATCAACCCGTAAACTGATGGCCAGAACGGTTCCGTTTTGGGTCGTATGAGTCACACACTCAAATGACATAACGCATATGATACTACTTAATGGACCTCACACACTCAATTTTTTGCTTGTAATTTTTGTTGTCAGAACAGGCTGTCCGTTCGAATTGGATGATCGAACCGCCATTTTTTTTATTTTTTTAATTGGGAACCACCCAAGCAGTCGGTTCTATTTTACCCTAATCCTAGTCCCTAGCCAAAATGGCGTTGTCCCAGCGATCAAACCGTCAACTCGTTGACTCGTTCAATGGTTTTTGTCCGTGTTTTTTATTTTTAAATTTTTTTTGTTAGAACGGGCCATCCGTTTGTACCGGATGATCAAACTGTCGATCCGAAAACCAGTGGATAGAACGGTTACGTAATTTTTTGCTTGTAATTTTTGTTGTCAGAACGAGCCGTCCGTTCGAACTAGATGGTAAAATCGTCGACCCAAAAACCAGTGGCCAGAACGGTTCTATTTTTTTGGTCGTATGAGATACGCTTGAATGACATAACACATATAATACTGCTTAATGGACCTCAGACAATCAATTTTTTGCCAGTAATTTTTGTTATCAGAATGGGCCGTCTATTCGAACCGAATGATTGAACTGTCAACCTGAAAATCAATGGTCAGAACAGTTTCATATATTTTTGCCTATAATTTTTGTTGCCAATGAGAAATATTGGCATTTGGCGAAAAGGGAAGATCACCCCTTTCCCTTTAATATATGTATATAAGATACCCAATTACCCATCCAAAATCCAAACCATAAAAGCCCAAACAATGACAACAATTCTGTCAAATTAAACTAGACACAAAAGATTACTACACATACATTGATTCATTTTCTTTTAAGCTATATACAGTCCTGCTGGAGTTACTCTGAGCCATTACATGGCTTGGCTTCAAATATTATTACGAAGGTTTTACCTAGCGGTGCATTTGATACCTATAATGTTTTATGTTATCATCTACAGGTCAGAAACTAGTTATTCTCTCATTATAAAAGGAAAAGCAAGATGTGGCCTTGCAATAAACACTTGAGCTGATTAAAATTAAACTAACGACCTGTGGAGAGGACAGAGTTTGCCACCGATACTCCACTCGTTGTCATTGTATTTCCTAAGCCCAAAGAAGAATTCAAGTTGGGGATAACAAAGTTGTCGAAGCCTTCACGGCCTGTAAATGCAAAACCACTGGCACTAACCGACGACAACAGGTCCGGAACAGGGGCATCTCCGCTCAGAAACTCCATTACTTGTCCCATGGTCGGCCTACCTCCCGGAATGGAGTTGCAACAAAGAAGGCCAAGCTTCAATACCAATTCCATTTCCTCAACCACATAATCACCCCCCAATTTCGGATCTGCCGCCTCCAGAATTGCCCCTCTGCTCCAAAACGACAACACCCAATCAACTAAAATAACATCCTCATCCCCCGATCCCGATGCTTGTGTCTCGATAGGCCTTTTCCCACAAGCCACTTCAAGCATAAAAACCCCAAAAGCGAATACATCTGTACTCGTAGTCGGCTTACTAGTTCTAGCAATCTCTGGTGCAAGATAACCTATTATCCCCATCACATGTGTCGTTTGAGGATCGGTTCCGTGATCATATAGCCTCGAGAGTCCGAAATCCCCTAATCTACTATTGAATCCTCTATCTAACAGGACATTGCTCGACTTTACATCTCTGTGAATAACGATCTGCTCCCATTCTTCGTGCAGATAAAGTAGTCCAGATGCCACTCCTTTAATGACTCCAAACCTTTGACCCCAATTGAGGGTAGTACCAAGTTCCGGTACCGAATCGACCGATGCTAACAATCTCGGCGACGAATTCTCTCATTCCTTGTCTTGATTCAGGGGACACTCTCTTCACTGCAATTTCCACTTTGGAGGTGGGTAATATGCCTCTGTACACCCGCCCATGCCCAGAAGCTCCTTTTCACTAAATCCCCTGGTGGCAATGTAGAGATCCTTAAATTTGAACCTGTGAGGCCCATAGTCTATCTCCCAATCCTCCATTACTTCTGCAAACTTCCTCTTCCTCGACAGAATGAAAAGAATGCCGGAGATCACGGTGGACATTAAAACTAGGCCAACAATGGGCAACCCAATCGTCAGAAACTTAGATTGCTGTTTGGGTCCTACTCGAGGAAGCTTTGGAAGTTGGGAGAGAGTTAGCTCTTTGGCTGCACCGTTCATGTTAAAGCTCCAGCCCAACACGTAATGGGATGTGAAAAATGAGCCCGAAGACGATGAGAAGCCAACGTACATTTGGTCTTTCATGATCGGAGAAAGATCGTAAGCGAAGGATAAGAGTGGGATATCCGGTTTAGGAACATTAATCGGAGCTAATGTGACATTAATTCGAGTGTCGAAAGCATCATATTCGATCCACAGACTTTAAGGCTTAGGTTCTTATACCCACCATTTTCATCTGTAAAATAAGACGCTGGTTTAGAATCTACAGACTTTAAGCTGTTAATGTCAATACCGACATGGTTACCATTGATATCAGCGAACTCCTTGTTCTGGTTTGTGTCGACCTCAACTGCAACAACATGGTTGGACGGATTTCCGTTGTTGGATACGTTGAAGAGGCCTAGATATTGGCTTGCTAGAGATCCTGGGAGATCTCTTGAAGGTGCGATCACGAAAACTATTCCATGGCCACTTAGATTTGGGTACTCGGGCTCGGGGACGATAGCGAACACGAAAGTGGAAGAGAAGGAGACCGCTTCACCTTCCGATGGGTTCTTGAAGTGGAGTGGGTATGGATAGAAGTAATGACCTGTTTGCAGTCTGGTGACGTTGGTCATCATCAATAGGCCGTTTGGTGTTATCCGTGCCAGACCTCCCAGGCTCAAGTTAGCACCTCGGAATCCATTGAAAGTGAAACCAACATTTTCAGAGGCTGCAACAATTGGAAAGAGAAACAGAGATGACAGTTCGATAGTGAAAGAAACAGGAAAGTGCCTCATTGCTGCTAAAGGTCGGTGTGAGCTGAGAGGCCACCGTTCATTTTTCTAAGAAGAGGAAGAAGTCCCAATAAAAATCAAAATAGCTCGGATATATATAATAAAATTATAAAAAAATAATATATATAATAAAAATATTATAATTCTTAATTTTTTAAATATCAAATAAAAAATATTTTTATATATAATTTTTTATTTTTATAAAACCTTTTTTCTCAAATCGAACTCAAATCAAGCCGAGCTCGAGCTTGAACTTATGAGTTTTTGACTCAAGCCAAGCTCGAGCTCAATGTTCTAGCTCGAGCTTGAGCCTTGTACAACCTTAACGAGCCGAGCTCGAGCCTTGTACTCTTCAAATTGGCTCGGCTCAAATCCACCCCTAGTGATGAATAAGTGTTGTTATTTTTTGATGAATAATAACAGGGCTTTCATTCATTTTACTTTTCAATATCAAATCAATATTTTAAAAGGCGTCGGAGGTGTATGCTTGAAGGTGCACCTTCAGCCAGGGCGGAGCTAGGGAGGAACCCAGGGGAGCCATGGCCGCCCTATGGTCCAGAAATTTGCACACTCAACATTTTTATATGTATATTTGTTTCCTCCCCTCACTTTCACCCAATGGTTGGTCCCTCCTATGGCCCATCTATAAGTTTTGCCCCCCCTCCCCCCCTATAAAAAATTCTTGACTCCGCCCCTTCCTTCAGCCAAGGCACCCCCAAAACACCTTGAGGTGTATGTTAGAGACTTTGATACCTTTGAGGTGTATGCTTCATAGACTTTTTCCATGAGGTGTTGGGGATGTACGTAATCCTCATGTTCCTCATGCACATATCATATGAAAATACAAAAAAAAAAGAAAAAAAGAAAAAAAGAAAAGGAAATGAAAGGAAAGGAAAAGAAAAGAATGAAAGAGAAGAAAAAAAGATAAAAAGAAAGAAAAGAAAAGGGAAGAGAAGGGAAGAAGAATAAGGAGACCGCTTTGACAAGACACCCCCTCTTCAACTAGTGTTATACATCTTCATTCTTCATAATATAAAAGTTTTTATTAAAAATAAAGAAAAATGAGATCTTCCTTCCTCTTCTTCCCCCTCCACTTCCTCCTCCTTCCTCTTCATCCCCTTCCTTTGAAGGAGGTGTGCTTCCTTGTGTTAGGGAAGCAAAAGCTTCCCAGGTTTTAAACTACACCTCATGTCTCTAAGTATTACAACACCTTGTGACACGCCTCTATATTTTAAAACACTCATAAGAAGATATGTGATGGATAAGTGTTATTAGGAGTACTTATTGAATCTTGTTAGTAATTAATGAATGTATTAAATGTAAAATTCAGTATTTGGCAAGTAAAGTTGCCTATAATTGCAGAGATTAGATTCCAAGAATCTAAAATTGAGTTGAACTTTTTTCTTTGTTTCTAAGTAGAAAATTTATTAAATGTAAAGTTCAGGGTGAGGACAATAATACTCATCCAAGTTCAGGGTGAGGACAATAATACTCATCCAACCAATCTACACAACAGAAGGGCCATGCTTTCTATCCTTACCCGCTCCACTTCAAGAACCTATCGGTATCGGATGGTAATGTTTTCACTTTCTCTACTACTTTTGTATTCGGGATCGTCCCCAAGTACCAAGATCTAAGCGGTCATGGATTAGCTCGTGATAACACCTTCAAGAGGGTTACCGGGAGCTGAACCCAACCAATATCTAGGCCTTTTCAATGAGTCCAACAACGGTAACTCGTCCAACCATGTCGTCGCAGTTGAGCTTGACACCATTGAGAACATAGAGTTCTCTGATATCAATAACAACCATGTTGGTATCGATATTAACGACTTGCACTCTGTTCCGCTCCGGCATCTTATGCCACCCATCACAGTGGTGGCTATAACAACTTAAGCCTTGCAAGTGCGAAACCGATGCAAGTGTTGGGGTGGAGCTTCAAGATGAACGATTTAGCAGCTAAAGAGCTAACCATATCCCAACTTCCTAAGCTACCTCGAGTAGGATCCATAGAGAATTCCAAACTTTTGACGGTGGGATTGCCAGTTATTGGCCTAGTTTTAGTGTTTACGTTGATTTCCATTGTCATTTTTACCGTCAAGAGTAAGAGAAAATTTTCTGAAGTACTTGAAGATTGGGAACTAGACTATGGACCTCACAGGTTCAAATACAAAGATCTTTATATTGCTACCAAGGGGTTTAGGGACAAAGAGCTTCTGGGTATCGGGGGTTTCGGTAGGGTCTACAGAGGTGTATTACCCACCTCCAAAATCGAAGTTGCAGTGAAGAGAGTCTCTCATGAATCCAAACAAGGATTGAGAGAATTTGTTGCCGAGATTGTAAGCATGGGTCGGCTGCGGCACCGGAACTTAGTACAATTCTTGGGATATTGTCGACGTAAAGGAGAGCTCTTATTGGTCTATGATTACATGCCCAATGGAAGTCTAGACAAGTTCATCTTCAACCAACCAAAGGCAAAACTGGATTGGGGACAAAGGTTTCAAATCATCAAAGGAGTAGCGTCCGAGCTATTTTATTTGCACGAAGGATGGGAGAAGGTGGTTGTTCACAGAGATGTCAAGTCCAGCAATGTCCTATTAGATAGTGAGTTTAATGGAAAGTTGGGAGATTTTGGACTCGCAAGACTATACGACCATGGAATGGGTCCCAAAACTACTCATGGAATAGGTTACCTTGCACCAGAGCTGATGAGGACCAGAAGGCCATCATCGAGCATAGATGTCTTCAGCTTCGGGGCTTTTATGCTTGAAGTGGCTTGTGGGAGAAGACCTATAGAGCTACAAACGACAACGGAAAATGTAATTTTGGTGGATTGGGTGTTCTCATGTTGGAGTAGAGGGACAATTTTTGAGACAGTAGATCCAAATCTGGATGGTAATTATGTAGCTGAGGAAGTTGATTTGGTGTTGAAGCTTGGTCTGCTTTGCTCTCACTCAATCCCGACTGCTAGGCCAACCATGCGACAAATCATGCGGTTTTTAAGGGGAGATGCCTGTCTACAAGAATCGTTTTTGCATGGTCTAACATTTGCACATGATCAAGGATTAAGCAACTTTGCAACGTTCCAGCCTTCTCTTCCAGGAAAGACATCGACACAAGTATCGTTAGGTGCAGATTGCATCCTCTCAACGGGCCGTTAAATTTTGTAACTGGATCTATCATATATAGAATGGCCTTTGTTAGCGCATTCTATCACACTTAGTATCATTATCTCCTTAATCTTAGGAGAGATAATTCTAATCTAATTACCTGTACTAGATGTACATATCCTTTTTGTATTCTAATATCCCTACCTCTATTATAAGAGAAATTATTATCTTCTCCATCCATCTTTCTTGTTTTCATATCATCCTGTTTTTCTATCATGGTATCAGAGTCGTCTCCATTGCCAAAATGAACACAGGCCTCCCACTCGTCGACGTCATGATCCAAGTCTTGGATCAGTAAGGAACAGTCTAGATCTTCAATATCTTCTACTCTTCCTCCGGCTGCAGCCTGTGCAGCTTTCTTCGCTGCCTTCTCTTGCAGCGCCTTCGCCTCCGGTGGCTTGAATTCAACTTCTCGTACTTCACGCCATGATAAGCCTTCGAGAGTTTCCGATGGCCTGATTTCAATTTCACCATCGTGGATGATGTGCTGTGGACCTTCGTCACCGTCTTCGAGTCCTTGACCTTGGCTGCGATGCTGTGTTTCTTCTCACCATCGTGGATGATGTGCTATGGACCTTCGTCACCGTCTTCGAGTCCTTGACCTTGGCTGCAGTTCTGTGTTTCTTCTTCGTCTTCTATGGCTGTACTCTCTGATTGCCGTATCTCTCATCTACAACTTTGCTGGAATACTGAAATTTCAGGCGGCCGTTTGTTTTTCTCGATGACCTCGCTAGAGTTATCGACGTCAGTGATGCTACTATGAGATTAAGGATCAGCAGACCATTTTTCTCGACGACCTCGCTAGAGTTATCGACGTCGGTGACGCTACTGTGAGATTAAGGATTGGCAGTTGAGAACGTTGATAAGTTGGTCTTTTTTTTTTTGAGAGGTGCTTCCGTCCTCAGTCCCGCTGTTCAGGAGATCGAGAGTTGCAGTATTCCCCTGCGCCAATAGTGAGACAGAGAGAGCAAGCGTACGGGAGAACGAGGAGGAAGGGAGGGAGCAGATGAGCCAGACATAGCCGTACGGATCCTTCACCTTGCCGACTCGTCCACCGCAGCAAGAGCCCTCGCCCTCGCCCTCTGTGACCTCACCCTCGAGCGTCGCGCCAGCGCTGACGGTGCTGACGGCCTTCTTAGGGTCAGTATTAAGATTTTCCCGTGATTCGTGTTGCTCCAAAGATCTGTGCTTCTCCTCATGGATTCATCTGAAGCTGCTCAACATATCTCTCATCCCATCACTGTTAGCTTCGATGGCTCAAATTATGATTTATGGTCCCAAGAGATGTGCAGTTTTCTTAAGGGCCGCCTTCTGTGGCGATATGTGACTGGTGAGATTCCCAAACCTACTAAAATTGCTGATGAAACAGAAGATAAATTTGCTGAACGAGTAGAAAAATGGGACGGGAAAAATTATCAAAAATTGACATGGTTTCGCAAGACCTGTATTGCAAGCATCAAGTTGGAATTTCGCATATATGACTCTCCTAAAGAGGTATGGAATTTCTTACAAGTTCGTTATTCTATTTCTGATGATGTGCATTAGTTTCAGCTCTATAGGCATCTTCACCGTATGAAGCAGCAACTTGAACAGACCATTCACAGTTATGTCTCTAAATTACAAGTTCTTTGGGATCAGTTAGCACAGTGTGAACCTGAATGGGATAGTACCTCTGCAGCTACTACTTATTCCAAGCTTCGCGATCGCCAACATGTTTGGCATCTTCTGATGACTCTCAGGGATGAGTATGAACCTATTAGCAGTACTCTACTTCATTGTAGCCCATTGCCTTTCCTTGAAGTTGTGATCAAAGATTTGCTTTCTGACGAAATTCGTCTAAAAATACTTTGAGATGAGCGATCCTTATTATCTACTGATGCTGTTCTTGCTACTCCGGGTACGTCTGCTACTTCTTCAACTAAATCTTCAAATTCTGCAATTACTGCAAAAAGACTGATCATACTATTTCTGAGTGCCGCCGCTTGCAAGCCAAAAAGGCGTATGGACAGAAGTCCTCATCCATGGGTTCTCAGGCTTCGAGTTCCACTGCAGCTACAGCCATAGAGAATTCTTCTGATAACACCTCTCCAAGATTTTCTCTTAGAGAACTCCAAGTTCTTCACCAGCTCCAACCTGATTCTGGTATGCCTTCTAATCCAGCCTTGTCAGTTACTCCAGGCACTACCTCATCATGGTATTTTGATTCTGCTTGTTGCAATCATATGACATCCAATATATCATTGTTTAATTCCAACTCACATCCTTCTATTGCACCAATTGTTCATACTGCCGATAGTTCCACCTTAACTGTCAAAAGTGTAGGCACTGTTTCAACATCTCGTTTATCACTTCATAACACTTTTTTGGTACCTCAATTATCTCTAAATCTTATATCTGTTGGACAATTATGTGAACTTGGTTTTGAAATACATTTCTCGAGTCGTGATTGTATTGTGTAGGATCCACGGACAGGGAAGATCATTGGGACAGGCCGTAAGGTTGGGAGACTGTTTGAGCTATCATCTCTTCAACTACCATCTCTTGTTGCTGCTGTCACCTCAAGTGTCTGGCATTCTCGCCTCGGTCACATTTCTACCTCTAGATTAGGATCTTTAATTTCTAATGGATGTTTGGGCCCTGTTAAAACAATACACTTTGATTGTGTTTCATGTCCTCTTTCAAAACATCATGCTTTGCCTTTTAATATAAGTGATTATGTTTCTTCTACACCTTTTGATCTTATCCATTCTGATATTTGGGGCCCTTCGCCTCTTAATACCATGGGTGGTTCGCGTTATTTTGTGATCTTCGTTGATGACTTCTCTCGATATACATGGATTTATCTCATGCGTAATAAATCTGAATTACCTGCATTTTATATTCAATTCTCCACCATGATCAAAACTCAGTTTTCCTCTATCATCAAAATTTTTCGCACTGATAATGCCATGGAATATAGAGATTCAATCCTTACCCAATTTCTTTCACAAAATGGAACTATCATTCATAGATATTGTCCCGGTACCTCTCAACAAAATGGGCGTGCAGAACGAAAACATAGGCATATTCTTGATACTGTTCGAGCTCTTTTAATCTCTTCCTCTTGTCCCGAACGTTTCTGGGGGGAAGCAGCCCTCACTACTGTTTATACCATCAATCGCATTCCTTCTCCTGTTATTGGTAACATTTCTCCTTATGAACGATTGTATGGCCATTGCCCTGATTACCAGTCTCTTTGTGTGTTTGGTTGTGCTTGTTTTGTTCTATTACAACCTCATGAACATACCAATTTGGAACTAAAAGCACATCAATGTTGTTTTCTCGGGTATGGTATTGAACATAAAGGATATCGGTGTTGGGATCCTCTTTCCCAACGACTTCGCATATCTCGTCATGTTACCTTTTGGGATACACAAAATGTTCTCTAGTCTCTCCCCATTTCGAGTTACCACGACATCTTCACATTTTTTTTACTGATCCTACTATCTCACTTTTTCCTGATGATTTACTTGTAGGTCCGACTACCTCTTAATCTGATAGCTCTGCCAGTATTGCACAACCTGCAACCTCTCCTGATACATCTACCTTGGCTATGGATCCTCCAGCTCTGCCTTCTTCTGAGCCCTTGATTCCTCCTGATGAATTAGATCCTGATCATTCTGATACTCCACTCCGTCGTTCTGGTAGGGTCACTAAACCTTCCATTCTTCTTTGTGATTTTCATTGTTATTCTACCATTGTATCTTTATATGAGCCTTGCACCTATCGCGAGGCTAGTACTGACCCTCTATGGCAGAAAGCAATGGTATAAGAAATTCAAGCTCTTACAAGCACTCACACTTGGGATTTAGTTGACCTGCCTCTAGATAAATCCGTGATTGGTTGTAAATGGGTTTACAAAATCAAGACCCAGGCAGATGGTTCAGTTGAAAGGTATAAAGCTAGATTGGTAGCTAAAGGGTTCACACAGGAATATGGTATTGATTATGAGGAGACTTTTGCCCCAGTAGCCCGTCTCACTTCTGTTCGCAGTCTTATTGCAATTGCTGCAGCTAAGCACTGGCAGCTATTTCAGATGGATGTTAAGAATGCTTTTCTCAATGGCGATCTTTCTGAAGAGGTTTATATGCAGCCCCCTCTTGGTTATGATCATCTCCCTAATCAGGTTTGTCGTCTCCGTAAGGCTCTATATGGACTTAAGCAGGCGCCTCGAGCATGGTTCTCCAAATTCAGCTCTATTGTTTTGTTAGTTTGGTTTTCAATGTAGCACTTATGATCATGCCGTGTTCATCCGTAAGACTTCTCAGGGTTGCGTACTTCTCCTCCTTTATGTGGATGACATGATCATTACTGGCGATGATTTGCAGGGCATTTCCGCTCTTAAGACTTTTCTTAGCAAACAGTTTGAAATGAAAGATCTTGGTCGACTAAATTATTTTCTAGGCATTGAGGTCTCCTCCGACCAATCGGGATATTATCTGTCTCAGGCCAAGTATGCTACTGATCTTGTTTCTCATGTAGGACTCACTGATACTAAGACTGTTAACACTCCGATTGAGCCTAATGCCCATTTTTCAGCCACTGATGGTACTCCTCTTAGTGACTACACCCTATATCGACAACTAGTTGGCAATCTTGTATACCTTACTGTTACTCGTCCTGATATTGCGTATGCTGTCCATATTGTGAGTCAGTTCATGTCTGCCCCTCGCACTACTCATTATGCTGTTGTGCTTCGTATCATCCGTTATATCAAGGGCACTTTGTTTCATGGACTTCACTACTCCAGTTCTTCCTCTCTTCATTTGATCGCATATTCTGATGCTGATTGGGCCGGTGATCCTACTGATAGACGCTCCACTACTGGTTATTGCTTCTTTCTTGGAGATCCTCTTATATCTTGGCGTAGTAAGAAGCAAACGGTTGTCTCTCATTCCAGTACTGAGGCTGAATATCGAGCTATTGCTGACACTACCTCCGAGTTGTTATGG